AGTAATCATCTTGTGGCTATGATTAATTCTAGTGGTGAGTTTGAGACTTAGAGTGGCTTTGTAAAATTTATCGTACTTGCTATGCTATTGTTCCAGTGTTTGACAAGAGAAGGCAGCCAGCCAGCCTCTGTTAAATTGAACTGCTCTACGATGTTCCAAGTGCGAAGAGCAAGATGTTACTTTGCTTTTGTTTGAATGCGGCTGTAGGAGCATTAATTTGATAAATTAGAGAACACAAAGCAAGACAGCATGAATATCTTTTGCCATTCAAAATGTCATGTAAAATGCTTCCTAATTGGATTAAATGGGCAGAATTTTTGTTGTATTTTTTTCTCACAAAAGAATAAACATAGGAATTACACCAAGATATGAAGGGTTTGCTACATTTATATGAGAAAACTTCATGAAAGTAACATTCATTAGACATTTATAATGCAGGGAGATTATGGAGTAGCTTTTCCTAAGGTTGTGATGGTGCCACTCATCTATCTGTCAGGACCAAGCTGAAAGGACTCTAGGAGACAAAGCAGGGCAGATTAAAGAACTAATCCTGCCAATCTGCCTTTCTTGGGAGGACGCTATACTGTCCACACAAAAAAAATTCATACTTTTTAGAAAAGTTATTTGCAAATTCAAATGTTTAGATTAAAAGCTAGGCTTACCAGAAACAAAATTAGATGAGGATAAAGAAATTTGCCCTAACTGTCCTCAAGCTTTTGGGGACACTGAATTGCTTGCTCCCTAAGACTGGGCCCTTACATGCACATAAAGCACGGTGTGGTTCCCAGCCCCCCTACTTCACAGCTGCAGCCATGCCTCAGGACTCTGCTATTTTTCTCTTTTTCATAAATGTAATCTGATTCTCTGCTATCTGCTGAATGCCCCTCCTAAAATCATCTTTCCTACATGAATATTCTTCTCTGGCTTCTATTACTGCACTCTGATGCCTACTGGTGTGGTCCCTCCTGTTTAAGATCTGCTTCAAACCAGCTGCTTGGCAGGTCACCCCCTGATGACTTCTTATCTCTAGAAGCCAGGCAATGTCTGCAGTATCAAAACTTTCTGTTGAGTCTCTTCTTGTTGCTTTCACAGTGAGAGTTTATTTATAGTCCCAGCAGTCTCTTCTCATGTAGTTAACTGGGCCATCACACTAAAGATATGAAAGATTTATATTACTTTGAGAAGCATGGGAATGTAGAAATGAGGAGGGTAGATTCCAGGGCTACCCTACAGGGATTCAAAATTCCATAGTGACCTCACACCATTTTGGCGACTTTGTCAAGAACTATAAAAAGTCTAAGATTTTACTCCACTTGGCAAGCGGCAAGTTAGCCTGTTGCAGGCTCATGGATCCTGGCAGAAGACGTAGATTCCTGGGTCAGTAACCAAAGACAGTTTATCACAACAATATTAACAGCTAGAGAATGAGTATTTATATTGATTCCCTGACCCTGATAACAGCATGCACAATGGGTTGCGTTTCATGGGAGGAGCCTCCTGGAAGGATTCCAAAAATTTTAGAGTAGACCATGATTCTTCCTGACGTCTGCCTTGAGAAAGATATTATTTTTATTATATTGGATAGTAAACAGTTTTTCTCTTTGCTCTGGAAGGACATAATATGTCTAGCTTTCAAGGCTATTCACTGCAGAAACAGTCATGAAAGGGGTGCTTGTTTTTGCAGTGTGTGAGTTCACAAAGCATCAGTTTTCTCATTCTAGAAATTGAATTAGTAATATAAGGTATATACTTGGGACCATCAAATGGATATATTACATATAACATTCTCTGTCATATCTGATGCGTAGAACCTTGCCTGTCACATTGATAGCAGGGTGTTGTTCGTGTTAATCACTATGGTGACTATATCTTGAATAAGATGCACACATGTTTATTGCATTCTTTGTTTCTTCTAGCAAATAGACTATTATATCTCACTGATAAGTTTCTAATTAGTTAGAACACAAAATATTAGATCTGAAAAAGACCACAAATCTAGCATTTATACATAAGGAAATAAGTTCAAAGAAGTTATGCGACTTACTGAATTACAGACAGAAAAGCTGCAAAAAGGACAAAAGCCTTCTAACCTAAAATTCTGAGGTTTTTAGGTCACACATATGTGTGGTATAGCTCGATCTATAATGTGTCAGCAAATAACTGAAACAGGCCTGTAATATATTAGAAAACATTTCTCATGTTTATTTGGTCACAGTCTTCTTACATGCTTGATTTATAAACTAGTTTAGACTTAGCCCCGAAGGCGAAGATATTTTGTGAGTAAGTGGTAGTGCTACTAGATAGATGCTTTTAGTCTCGTGCAATATCCAGGCTCTTTGTATCCTGAATAAAGAATTCAGCAAGACACATGGATATCTGAAAAAGATAGAGATTCATTGAAGGCAAATTACACTGCACAGAGCAAGAGCTGGCAGATGAAAGAGGTTAAGAGTGGGCTCATCTTAGAACGACCCATTTGCTTTATGTTTAAGGATAAAATACACTTGGGTTTTTATGTTTAAGAATAAAATACACTGCCCAGTTCCTGCTGGGCAGTGCCGAGAGATGGCAACATAAAGAGTTCTAGAGTTGGCTTTTCTTTTGTTTTCCTAGGATTTGGGCAGTTAGGGTGGTAACTAACTAGACTTCTTTCTATTTAACTGTGATCATTAAAGGAGTGGGAGTTTGTGAATTTGTAAGGGCCTAGGTGGAACCAGCATAACTGCAAAACCCAAGGAGTGTCAAAACCATAATGCTCATATTAGAATGCCTGTAAGGTGCTCACTGGTTTCTCTAAAGCACTTAGAGCAGATGCCTCTTGGGCTCATGCCAGATGTCAAGGAAGTGCGTTCGGGGCAGGAGCATGTCTTTTAGGCTCACACCAGGATGTCAGGGAAACATGGTTAAGGCTGGAAGCTCTTGTGGACTTAAAGAACCAAAAGCATCCATCATATCTCCTGAGAGCCTAAGCCAGGATGTTTCTCACACTATCTTCTGCCTTAGTAGAGAGTTAAAATAACCAGCCCATGTTTCATTCTGCTAAAGATGGAGAAATTCTAGTAAAGTATATTGTAGGAGTATGTCAAGAGATTCAGACTGGCTTATACAAACTTCCTAAGGAGGTTCAACCAGGAATATCAAGAAGAGAAAGAGCAATTAAAGAAATAATATCTGGTTCCAGAAGGAAACATATTCCTTCCAGAAGCTATCCTAGAAAGATCTGTAAAAAATGAATGGATTAAGTTTTGTACCTCTTATAGTACTGATCTCTTTATTTTTCTTTCCTCTTCAAGAGGGAGCATAGCTTTAACTTCTGTGGGACTCTGAAATTCTTTCAGGGTCTTTATGTCAGAGATGACCATGCCTAGACAACCAAAGCAAGATTTAATGGGAGTAAAATGATAGGAATGTGAATTGCTCTTCTTTTTTACTTCAAGTCCTCTACAAAGACCCTTTAAAAAGAAATTAAAAAGGGCCTGGGGAGATAGCTCAGTAGAATAAGTGCTTGCCTGGCAAGTGCAGGGTCCTGAGTTCAATCCCTGATACCTCAAAACTTGGTGGCTCAACCCTCCATCCCTTGTCCTCAGGGAGCAGTGCCCTCTCCTCTGTGGGGCACAGGCAAAACTACTTCATGTCACCATCGCTCCACAGCTCTCCACAAGATGAGTGTTACGTGTGAGAGAGTGTGTATATGCGCCTGTGTGTGTGACAGACAGGCGGAGGGATGGAAACAAGGAACAGAGATAGGAAGACAGAGACAAGGGCAAGAGATAGACAGAGAGACTGTGTTACAAACTTGCTGCTTTCCTTCTGCTTAAACACTCCGAAAGAAATGTCCCTTGTTTCTTCCACAGGGTGAAACATTGAGGGAAATAGCACCTTTCATTTTCACTTTCATTTTCATGTGGAGTTTCCATTTTGGAGTTTTAAATCTCACTTGTTTCTTCTACATCATGAGGTTTAGAAATATCTCCTTTAATTTTTACTTGGAATGACCTTTATGTATGGAATCAGTTATTCTAGAGATAAATCTGACAGTGCCAGGTAAACCTGAAAATTCCTAGACCTCGTGATGAGAAAGTCCTTCTGAGGGTCAGGCCTGACAGAGGCCTGATTCTTTCTTTTGGAAGAAGAAATTATTTTCTTAGGCTTCGCAGGCTTTATTCAAATAGGCTTCTACAGGTCCATCTTGCACTGATATCCAATTAGGTGTACCCAGAATTGGACAAAACCAGAGCTCTTTTGAAAAAGCTACTAGCCCCTCTGGGCTTGGGTTTCCACTGAAACCATCGCTCCAGATGTGCCTCCAGGGGGAAGCCAACAGGTGAAATGAAATGTCTAAAGAATTGACTTACATCCTGCTTGCCTCCAAGTGTGGATGTGGGTACGCACCTTAAATTCTAGCTATATCCCTATTCATTCACTTGCTCTTTTGCTTTTTACCAAAGTGGAAATACTTTAGACATGGTTCTTCTATGAAACCTATTATAATCTGCTCCCTCACTTCATGCCTTTATAAACACAAGCACAATGCCCCAGTTAATTTGATTTACATTATCTTCTAGTTTATTTATTTATTTGCTTGTTTGTTTATTTTTATTTTTTAAGTATTTAGGACATGGTCTACAGGGTCTCATTACACAGATCGGACTCACAGTGATCCTTCCTATTTTACAGCCTCCCAAGCGCTGGGATTACAGGCACACGCCACCATGCCCAGTCTCAGTTGCCATCCCAGCACGCCCTGGGGGTGGGGCTGGCACAGCAGGCGGGGCATCGAGCCCTGGTCCCTGTGTCTGCCTAAGCAGGTGCTTTAATCAGCTGAACTATCTGGCCAGCCCTGTATCTTATAATTTAAAAATATCCCTTCTGAAGTTAAGATACAACTTTTATCCCTACATTGAAATGCAAGTATTTAATCAGATATTTCCTGCAGATATGGAATTCAGCTCAATGACAGATATTTCATTTTAATGTTCTCAATGCTGTCTCTGCCTCAGGTGATGCAGATGTATCTTCCGTTTTGTGGAATCGCCATATCTAATGCTCAGCTTTTTGCTGCCTCAAGGAAAGAATATGAAAGAAGCAGGGTGAGTAGAAAGAAACTTTGCTACTGATCTTCAAAGTTCTCTGTCGTTCTTGTTTCTGTGCATCAGGAGGTCTCTTAAAAGCAGCAAATGGTCTGTGAATGACCAAGAATGCTTGGTGCATGTAGTTTTGCAAGGCTATGGCTAAAAATACCCTTTAAACAATAAACCCATGTGGAAATGGGCACACATTCTCTGTTCTAGTGTGAGAAAAAGCATCCCAGCTTATGTTTAAAGGAGATTAATTCTACATCTATATGATAAGAAAGGATTGCTTATAAGCAATACTGATATTGGTTATATTTCTACAATTTAATTCCTTCAAGAGGCAAAATATGTTACACTCATGATTTTATCCCACCTCCCAGATTTTGGTTTTGAATTGGTAGGTTTTCTGGAAGAACATCACAAGCTCCTTGTGATAATTATGAGAACATTACTCTATAGAATTATAAAAAACATGCTCAGAGGGAATGATTTTACATACTTCCAGGATTTGTAGAATAAACAGTAAAAAGTCAGAGGCTGTTGCTCAAAATATACTAAATTATCAAAGAGATTGAATTATATTAGACTCTACTATTTAAATATAGGAAGATTATGATTATAACTTAGTAATATATTTATCAAAATATTGTAAAAGGCATGAAATACAGTTTTTAGTCTTTCCATAGTCACTTACTTTTTTTTTGTTTGTTTTTGTTTTTTGGCAGAACCGGGGATTGAACTCAGATCCTTGCGTTTGCCAGTCAAGCGCTTATCCTACTGAGCCATCTCGGCCCTGTCACTTACTGTTTGTCCTTGTATATGTTGTCTTTTTGCTGTGGCCTATACCTACCACTCTGCTTTATATTATTTATTAATAGCCCTCCTCTCTAACTTTATTATGATATATTATTAGTCTGTGCATCCTGGTGTAAAGCACAATTCATTTACTCACTCAACAAGTATTTATGTGTAGTTCTTTTTAGACTCTGCCTATTCAAACTTTGTACCCATGGAACTTATAAGAGGGTGTGGCAATGTTTGGGGACTAAATGGTAAAAGGCCCTATTGTAATGTCAAGAACTTTGTCTTTTACTCTGATTGTGATGGAGAGCCATTAGATGCATCTAATTCACTTTTAAAATGGGTCACCCAGGCTTCCTATAGGAGAAAATAAAGGTCTGGGGAGAAGGACAACAGATTGAAAGCAGGCAGAGAAGTTAGAAGAAGACTACCTTGAAGTCATGGCTGACAGCATAACAATGAAAAGGAAATGATTTCCCTCAAATTAATTAATTGAGAGATCAAATTAATTGTAAGATCCACTTGGTTTGCTGATGTGGGAAGTGAGCAAAAGCAGACACTTGGCATGTGCATTTGGCAAGTGACCAGTGGGACACAGAGTTCCTAAAGTTTTTGATGATGTCAGGACTGGGATTAAGATTGCAAATCATCATCCTAAAAATGGTGTTCAACTCCAGGATATTAACTGGGTTAATCCAAGGGAAATGTGTTGCTAAGAGGAGGAAAGATAATCAAGCACAAGTGTGGAGCCTAAGGTCAATAGGAGAAAAAGGGGAACGTGCAGAACTTGTTTCCTGGAAGGCAAGTGACATTAATAATCAAGGAATATTCCTGGCCCACTAGATCCTGATTGGATCTAGGCCTGGCATGTGAGTGGGACTGCCTGCAGCAGAACTCCCTGCAAAAAGGTTAGAGGCAAGGCCAACCCAGCTGTTTCAGGAGCAGAACATCTTGCCAGAGTGGCACAGAGGGTTCCCCTCCAAAGGCTGCAGCAGGAAGAAGTGGAGCACAGTAGCCAGACCCAAGCCACACCCACCTGGAAGAGTTTGAACTTGATAGATCCAGACCTGGTGCTAAGGTACTAACTCTATCAAAGCTCTATACCAAAGGTCAGAAGACAGTGCTATACAAAATGACCAAGAGAAAGAGCAAAATACATTCTCAGGCCCTGAGCCCACCCAGAACAAATGCAGGAGACACTAGCATATAAGAAATTGGAAGTCACACCTGAAATCTCTGAAATAATAGCGTCAGAAGTAAAGAAACAACTACAGAAAGGTATAGAGGAAATTAGATCAGAAATAATTTCTGAAGTAAAAAAAGAAAAGATAATTATAATGAAAGAAGTACTAAGTGCTTCTAAAGAAGATGCTGATTTTTAAAAAATAGAGGAGAATATAAAAATGATGGAATCCTTGAATGTGCAATATAGGAAAGAAATAGAATGCATAAAGCAGATTCAAAGTGCTATACAGAAAATTAAAACCTCAATCACAAGCTGGCAAAACCTTTGAATGAAAGTGAAAATAGACTTTCACACCTTAAAGACACCATTGCAGCTAGTGAAAAAGTAAGAAAAGATCACTTAAAAACAACTAGGATGCAGGAAAAAAATAATTCAATGCCTACAAGATGATGCAAAGATGAACAACATAAGACTAATAGGCATCAATGAGAAAGAAGGAGTCAATACAAATGATATAAAAAGAATATGAATGGAAGAAATAACAGAAA